TAAAAAGATAAATAGACTGATAAGTAAGTGAATAATTGCCTATTGTTCTTCAATGCTTGGTTTAAAGTCAGTTTGCCAGACACAAGTATTACTACAATTCAGTCTCTCTCCCTGGGAACATTTCAGCAAAGTTTGTAAATAATATGGTTCTAGTTCAGCTAATGGTAGCTGTAGGGTTGCAAGCCTATATGCACTTTCCTGGAAATAGGGTGGAGACCTAGTGTGGCATAATGGTTTGAGTGTTGGACTACAACTCTGGAGACCAGGGCTCAATTCCTTGCTTGGCCATGAAACCCACTGGATGACCTTGGACAAGTCACATGCTCTCAGCCTCATGGGAAGGCAATGGCAAACCTCCTCTGAACAAATCTTGTCAAGAAAACCCAACAAATGTGGAGGGCCCTGTATTTTTTAAACCAACAGAAGGAAATCTGGATTTAGAAGGTCAAGTAAGTAGAACGGTGGGGAAGTGGGAAAACCCATGATAGGATCACCATAAGTTGGAAACGACTTGAAGGCACACAACAACAACAACAAGGTCCTATTGAATTCAGTAGGGTTTACTTTTAAACAGATATAGGACCAGTGGTTCCCGAACTTTTGTCGAAACTGTTTTGGACTTCAGCTCCCAGAATTCCTGACTGTTGACTAAGCTGTCTGGGGCTTCTGGGAGATGAAGTCCACAACACCTAGAGGACCAGAGTTTGGGAACCACTGGATTATACTGTGTGGCTGCTATACTATACACACTTTGTTGGGAGCACATCTCGTTACAGTTAGTAGTTTCCTTCTGAATAAATATGGGTAAGATTAAGGTGTCTCATAAAAGGGGATTTACATGTAATATTCCATCGACTTCAAAAGGTATTAGTCTTGATTGTCTGAAACAGGACCTGTGTTTTAAGCTTCTTTAGGCTTAAAGCTTTAAGCTTCTTGTACAAAACCAGCGTCAACAATAGCCCAACAGTCTAATAAATATATGTTGGAATGAATATACTCTGTATATTATTCTACTTGATTTCTGTATAACAGATGAGGGCTGGACTCCTTTTGGAGTATTGTGTCTTCATAAGTGGATGCATGTCTGCGGGAATTAGAATTGTGCAGTTGTGCAACATCTCTCTCTCTCTCTCTCTCTCTCTATGTGTATGTGTGCCTTCAAGTTGTTTCTGATTTATGGCAACCCCAAGGCAAACCTATCATGGGGGTTTCTTGGTATGCTTTATTCAGAGGAGGTTTGCTACAGCCTTCCCCTAAGGCTGTGTGGCATAGTGGTTTGAGTGTTGACTGTGACTCTGAAGGCCAGGGTGCAATTCCCTGCTTGGCCATGAAACTCACTGGGTGACCCCGGGCCAGTCACTCTCTCTCAGCCTCAGTCAGAAAAAGGCAAAGGCAAATCTCCTCTGAACAAATCTTGCCAAGAAAACACCATGATAGGGTTGCCTTAGGGTCATCATAAGTCAGAAATGACTTAAAGGCACACAACAACAACAACAAGCAAAATCCATATCCAGTTTAGGGCTGGTGATAGGTTACTAGGAAGAGGAACTGGCAAAGTTCCTGATGTGCATCTTCCTTCCTTGTTCAGGGGGGGATATGTTTGGTAATCCTTTGGGAAATCAAAGGCTATCTGATATGATACCACAAAACCTCTGCTCTTTAAAGGATTGCATTCCGTATCCCATTGGATTGAGACATATTTCACTGCTATTTGATCCCAGAAACATTGATTCATGGCAAAATGAAAAGCAGTTCACCAGAAAACTGATGCCATTGCCATTTCTGACTCCAAGGCAGGAATAAGAGTCATTCAGGCTTCCAGGTCTTGTTGGATTACAGCTCCCAGCCTTCTTCCCCATTGGCTAAGCTAAGGCTGCTGGGATTTCTTAATCCAAGAACATATGGAGGATCCCATAATGCCCTCTCCTGATCTAAGGAAAGAAGAATTTCCTGCATTAGAATTTCTTCTTTCCTCCAGGGATAGTTTGCAATTCCAATGATTGATTAATTTCCCTTCTTCATGACCCCAGTGAGAACGATGCAGCATTACATCAATCAGATTCAATTAATCTTCTAACAATTATGCGAGTGATGGGAGAAGTAGAAATATTTAATTGCTTCTGTCATCGTTCACAGGCTCATAATAAGAAACACCAATAAAACATTTATTTGACAAAGCTCAGAACTATGTTTTCAAACTACCAATTTCTCCCAGCTGTCTGCACCATTTTGCAGGCTATTCAATGGTCCTGTTGGCTGGAGGATTCTGGGAGCTGGAGACTCCCAAGAGTAACATGTCCAAGATCTTGTCCAATACACACAATGTCTTGCATCCTGTTCAGCAGTTCCAATGTTGTAAATCTGTCTTACATATATAGAAGGGAAGGGTTTCAACTGCAGATACACAATCCACTGAATGCACAGGCGCTTTTCTGTATTAATTTCATTTGTTACTTAACCTGGCTGTTAATACAATTGACCCTCAGTAGCCACAGAATCTGCATCTGCAGATTCCATCACCCATGGCTTGAAAATATTCCCTCCTCCTCAAAATACATACCAAAAAAACCAGACCTTGATTTTGCCATTTGATGAAGGGACACCAATTTGCTACAACTTTGTTTATAATGGGACTTGCACACCCATGGATTTGGAGTCCTGAAACCAAACCACAGTGGATAGATGCCAAGGGTCCTCAGTATTTTTTGCTTTATTGCTACTATATTCCATAACATTTCTGATGATTTATGTATTTGTGATGGTCTCTTTAAAATATATATATTTGATATATTCAACAGGTCAGGTAAGTTTGATTTACAGCACTGTAATTCTGTTACAGTTGTTATACTACCACAACAGCTAAAACGTTTCCCCAAACTTATCCTCTAAACCACATAAGCTGCTCTGGGAGCCTTTGTGGCAGAAGAGCGGGATATAAGTACTCTAAATAAACAAACAAATAAATAAGGCCTTGTACAGCAGCTGCCTCTACAGGCTGCACTGCTTAAAAAGTAGGTATGGGGGTTGGGAAATAGAGGATCTTGGCTGATTATGTCTTAAATTATGTGATCTATCTCACAGATCTTCACTGCAGATCCAGTTTTTGTTACTGGAAAATGGCATAGCTGCCTAGTGATTTTGGAAGTACATTTGGTAGGAGACATCAATCTGGAGTCACTGTAGGATAACCTCTGTTGCAGTAGAAATTTGTCATGTTTCTGAGTTGCACAGAATCATCTACAAGAAAAAAAGCAAGAGCTACACCCATGCAAGAACTTCACAGTTATGAAGGTTACATACTTATGAAAGTATTTGGTATTCAGTTTTAGGAGCCATTGTGCAGAAGTAGATCATGTAACCGAGTGGTAAGTTCGGTGCCCATTCATAGATAAACCCTTTGCACCAGTGCTGGGACCTGAACCAGCACTACCCCTGACACATGAGAGTCATATGTGTCTCCTGTGCTCCGCAAGAGTCTTCCCTGTTTGAGAAAGATGAGACAAAAATAAGTAGAGGGCAAGGAAAGGCATCCAAAGGGCCTTCCCAAAAAAGAACCCCATGTTTATATTTATATATGCAGTCAACCTGGGACGTTATCACACGGGGGAAATCTGCTGGTTAATCCACACAAATCCCAAACAGAAACTGGATTTGTGCCTCACGATTTCGCACGACGTTGCACAGAAACTGGACAGAAACTGGACAGAAACTGGTGTTATCCGAGATCTTTTGAAATTCGGTAGTTTTGAGGAAATGCATTTGCGAAATTACAGTAATTTTGCATTTACTGTAATGTGAAAAGCAAATGCACATTTGGGAGCATTTCCCTGCTTTTTCCCATGGTTCCATGGCGAGCATTCCTCTATCTGCGCATGTGCAAGAAGCTCATTTCTAGTACATTTACGGGCTTTTCTCACTTGTGTGTGAACGTTAAATGCGCTTACTGTAAATTCGCAATTAAGGTAATTACGTGTGAAAGCCATTTGCGGAATCAAGGTTTATTTTCGGTTTATTTTCGGAATGCCTCGTTTCCACTTTATTATCGCTTTCTGGCCCACGTGTGATAACGTTCATAGTGTATTGGTTTGAGTGTTGGACTAGGACTCTGGGAGACCAGGGTGTGAATCCCTGCTCAGCAATGGAAACCCATTGGGTAGCCTTGGGCAAGTCACATTCTCCCAGCCTTAGAGAAAGGCAATAGCAAATCCTTTCTGGCTAAATCTTACTGGGGGAAAAATCTCACGATGGGGTCACTCAAATGTGAAGGCACGTAACATGTCCATATATGCTTAAGATGGCAAGGATGAACTCCCCTTGAGTGATTGCCTATACAAGCTTTCTTTCTGTATTGCCTCTGAAGGCAAGCCTGGTACCAACTGCCCTTCTCAGCACCATCTGCTCTATTTTATTTTGAAAAAGAAATTTAAAATGCACACTCTTGCATATTCAACACAAGACGGAAAGAGAAATGCTATAAAACAGACCACCTGTTCCAAAACTGTATGTCTATGAATTCTTAAAATTTCCCAGTTTCACAACCTAAATTCTAACCAAATGGGCATCCCATCCTAAAACAAGCAAAGAAAATAGAAAAAATATATGTAAAGTGATATTGTATGTTGGTGGCTAACATTGTATATTGGTGACTAAATCTGGAAACAGGCAACACTTAATTTGGAATTTTATTGTATTCTGTATATCTTATATTGCTGTAACCCGCCTCGATTCCTCGTGATTGGGCGGGCTATAAATAAATAAATTATTATTATTATTATTATTATTATTATTATTATTATTATTATTATTATTATTATTAGCTGATGACTTTTTCATGATCTTGGAATCCTGGGTGATGTTAATGAGTGTTTTCTAATTGATGTTTCTTTTCTATGGTCTTCAAGTAAAACATCCAACATAAGGGATTTAAAATTTTTCCTTTAGAGGGAGCCCTTGTTCAACCAAGGACCAATCCAACCAGTTTTGACATGAGAAATATGTGCGTATAGTAGACAAGAGAATGTGGCAACCAATTACTATTGTAATTATGTTATTATGACTTTCAAGGAACCCAGTCAATAGTTGCTGTGTCCTGTTTGCTCTGCTAGCATACTAGCATTGATGGTCTGTCAAACAGTTTACTTCTTTTTAGAAGTATATTCATGAACATTCATGAACATTCATAACAAACCAAATGCCACTGGAGATGATATTATAAATGTAAGCCTTTATTCAGATGGAAATTTCACTGTGCTTTGCAGGTCTTCTTCCCAGGTAATTTTACGTAGAATCAGGGCCTTTGGTTATAATTGGGGAACTGGCCCAGGCATATATATATATATTTTTAGAATAAACTTTTGTTAGAAGCAGGATGGCTCTTCCGATGATGTCATATAAGAATTAGTTATGCTTATACTTTAACATGATTTTTATTACAGAAGTTTTCCATGTTTTGGGGAACAATGATGGAAATGTTCTTGAATTTCAGCAGGGAATGAGAAAATTTGAAGCTCTCAGCCAGTGATTAGTAGTGGGAGTATATTCCAGATCCGAAAGAATGGAAAATGTGTTCCAATTTTCTTCTGCTTGGTTTCTTAATGGACAGTGGGAAGGAGAAGAAGAGAAACAGGAAAGAAATAGCAAAAAGGTGATAAGCCTACATAGGTATGCAAAGGGATCTTGTAGCACCTTTGAGAGTAACTGAAATAAAGAAATTGGTAGCATGGGCTTTCATAGACTTGAGCTTATCTCCTCAGATAGAGGAGAGGAAGTAGGATCAAGTCTATGAAAGCTCAAGCTACCAACTCCTTTTTTCCAGTTAGTCTCAAAGGTGCTACAAGATCCCATTGTATACTGATGTTCTGGACTAACACAGCTATGTCTTTGAAGCCTATATAGGGTTGCTGTTGTCAAGGTCTCAAGGTGGCTAAAGTTGGGTAAGAAGAGGTTCATTTAAACAATAAAGATGGAAACCCACTGAGGGACCTTGGGCAAATCATACTCTCTCAGACTCAGAGGAAGGCAAAGACAAACCCATTCTGAACAAATCTTGCCAGGAAAACCCAGTGATAGGTTTGGCATTGGGTCAGCAAGGCCAGAAGCAACTTGAAGGTACACAACAAGAACAACAAAAGTGGAAAATTGTGTGTCCCAATCAGCAATTGATTCTGTGTGCCTACTCTGTTTATAGAGAACAGCATTTGGATTTTGGCTTGAGTGCAATAGTATGCATAGTTACTGTATGAATTTTCCAAATAAACACAGTTTGGGAGCATCACAGGCCCCTTCCAAAATCAGGCCAAGATATTAGATGAATAAGGCGTCATATGTT